GTCAAAGTGATCTTTCTAAAGATTTTACCTGTTTATGACACTGCCTTTCTTAAAACTCTTCAGTGGCTCCCATGTCTTGCACTTTAGTGCAAACCCCGTAGCATGTTGTAGTGGGACCACCTGAGCAAAAACCTCCTGAGTTTATGTCTGTTTCTTTCCATGCCCCTGCCCTAGAACTCACAGTCAGACTGCACAAAATAATGAGTGAATTTCCAAGTGAATTGTGCTGTTTTACCCTTCCATAACTTTATTCTAACTGCCTCCTTTATTCACAATGTTCTTTTCTTTTTTGTCCCCTAAGGAACTTCAACTTATCCTCTACAGCTAATATAAAATATCGACTACTTTAGGAAGCATTTCTACCTGAAATCTCAGGGGGCAACTGAACACTATTTCCTTTCAATAAGTAGTGTATGTATATTTACCATAGCAACTTTAACAGTTATGTGTCTTAATCTGGGTATTAGAGCAGTTTAGAGATTTAACTTTGGCTTTGAATTCTTCATCTAACTTAATAGATTTGTAGCTTTGGGCAAGTTACCCTTTCTCTTATCTATATTTATAAAACATGGATTAAACAGGGTTACTTAGGGTTGAGAACATTGAGCTAATCACAGAAGTGTTTGGCACATCAGACCTTGTCATTTTCCTGCTCTCAATGTTCCAATGGGTTCCCATAACACTTAGCATAGAATTTAAACTATTATCTTTTGCTATTTAAATATATTCCATTCTAACTTCCTAGGGAGAAAGTTTGGAAAGTGAGGGATACCTCTAGTTATTATTGCCTTTACAGTCTTTCATGATCCAGCCCCCAACTATCTTTCCAACCTGATTTCCCACCATTCTCCCTTTGCTTCCTCACTCCATCCTTATTGGCAACCTTGCTCTTTTTTTACTGCATCATCTAAACTCTTACCTCAGAACTTTTGCTCCTGCAGATTCTTCCACCTGGTTTGTTCTTTCAACTGATGTCCAAATGGTTCACTGTGTTTTTCAATGCAAGCTGTTACTCGAAGGTCACTTATCTAAAGTAGACTGCTCTTCACTTTATTTTTCTCTAATCCTCTTTAATTTTCTTCAACACACTTATCATTGCTTCACATGAGTCATCATTTTGCCGGGTTTTGTCCACTCTCATTCGCTGCAACAGAAATGCCATGATTGTAACAACTTTGTTTACTGATATATCCTCAGATTGAGAATAGTGTTTGACTTACGGTAGGCATTTAAATATATTTGTTGAATGAACAAATGAGTGAATTATTAGATTATGTTAATATTATTATTTCTGAGATGTCTCCTGAAAGGCAGACATCTTCTCCTCTTTGTCTTCATACACTTAAGTTCATTGGTTTGTAAAGCACCTTCCTTGAAGCCTTAAGGGTTTTCACTGACTTTCCTCTGGGATCCTACTGACGTGGTTACTGGACAGGGTTAAAGTAGGTCCAATTTTACTTGTATATATTGATCTGCATAGTAATAGTTTCACTGCTAAAAGGCTTTTGAAATCCACTGACTGAGTGTAATTCCCAACACATCGAGTAAATCATTCAATAAAGGTTTGCTGGTGAATGTATGAGGTAGAAAAAATTTGCCAGAATTATTATCAACACGAAGAAAAACGTAGAGCTGACATTTTCTTGAATAGCCTACCCATAATAATCTGCCCCCAGCAGCATTAACTTTTACTTGTGCATCTTTGCAAAACTGATTTAGATTTTATTAAAAATTAAAATACATCTTTTAAAATATTTTTCTAATATAGCCTAATGTCATTTCTTCTGTTGTGGCATTACTTCTGTTGTTTTCTTGATATTATTAAGTAGTCAGTGAATACCAGTGGTAGATATTGAAAAAATAAGTACTAATTAAATTAATTAAATTACCAACCATAAGATAATTACTTTATTAGCAAACCAAAATATGATGATTCAACATTCTCCACATTTTACTAAAATGTTTTTGCTAAAAGTAATTCTACATCTTCAAAATATCTAGTGATGTTTGATTCAGACAAGATTAAATTTTTATTTATATTTGTTGACTCTTCAAAATATGTAATTATACTTGATTGACATATGTAATTAATATAAATGAACTTATTTTGTTTGAGAAATTAGGAATGGCCACAATGACATAAAATTTATTTTACTTATTTAGTTTAATATAAACCTTAAATGGTAATAATACAAATATTATGGTCATAAAGGGATCAAAAGGAGTTCCATATTTAACAGAAAGGTTATTTCTGTTATTTCTGACTGTGAGAATTCATATTCTTTAGGATCTTTCCACCATGTAATTTCCAAGAAAGTGTTACAGTGTTTTTCAGGTTCTCTCTTCCCCTCTTCCTGAGGAGGAAAAAGAAAAAAAAAAAAAGAAGATGGAAGATGGTGGTGATGGTGGTAGGGATTTGAGATAAAAGTTGAGAATAGACAGAAATCAGGATGAAGGTTGATTTCATAATCATCATAAGGAAGAAAGAAGCTAATTCTGGCCATGAAACAAGAGGTAGCTTGTTAGTCAGACCCACTTTGCAAAGGAAACAGTTAGAGGATTTGGACGTCACTGCGAGGCATTTACACCATGGTGGGAAGAAGCGTGACTGTCTTCCTTGGCCAAACTGAAGTGAAGAAGCATGCATCAAGGCAGTCCAACCTGCTTACTAATGAGTGATCTACTTAGATGAGAGAGATATCACTACTTAGAAAATCAAATTAACCCTAATCCATTTGAAAAGTAGGAAAAGTGATATAGTTGATATTGAAAATGCTTTTTATACCTTTGTAACAGTAAGATGACACATGTTTATGTTTTTTATTCTTGAGGTCTAGATAACTTTCAGAGTACGGTGATATTTTGCACCATAGGAATTTAAAAATGCCATATCTTCCCCTTTTTTAGTTGGTTTAACCTGTGATTAGCATTTGACAATTGAAGCCACTTCAATTGTCAAATGAAAATCTTAAAAATCTCTTCACTGACCAATGTAGAAACAAACATATTTACACACAAATACAGATCAAGTTTCACTTTGGTATATGACACCAATGTGAAACAAGGGAATAGGCATGTTTTAATAAAGCATATAACACAATATTATTTCTCATTTATCATTAAATAATCATTTAACAAAGCATATAAAAACTATGTAGAGCATAGATATTTACATTTGGAAAAAAACCCTAAATAAGATCAATTTTGACACGCCTCTTTTACAGATATGGAATCTGAGATATAGAAAAGGTAACAAGTTCTACAAGAAGCCTGCATAGATCCTTTATTTAATATCTAGTTTTTTATCTACTCATTCAAGTATTACTGTGAATTAGTAGATTCAAAATATATTTTGAAGTCAGGTCTCAATTTACACAAGACATGAGAATATTTCCCTCAATAAATTCATGTACATCTAACATTTTCCTGTGAATGTAACTTTGGCTACATTCCATACTACTTTTCTTCTGTTCTTATAAAAGATGATAATTTATTTATTATGTTGTGTTTTCTTAAGTGTATAGTTCTACTGAGTGTTATTCTTTTATTAAAAATGTCTAATGTTACTGCATTGAAGTTTAAAGTTAGAGAGATTTTCTACTTTGGGAAATTATATGATGTTTTAATGGCCACATACACAATGAATTTTTGCAAATATGTGGTATTGTATTTCTTGGTTTCAAAGAAGAGTGGTATGTGTGCATTTGATCATATTTGATAGGTTATCTCATTCAGATTTATTTTTTGTTTACTTTTTGTCTTCTTGATCTGTCGCTGACAGGTATAGGATATAATCCCCTGGTATGACTGTGAGTTTGTTAAATCTTGTTTGTATTCCTAATTTTGTACATTTCAATTCTACATTACTTGGTATAAAAAAGTTAATTACATATATTTTTGGTGAATCGTATATTTAATTATCACATATCTTTTCTTGTTCTTGAATTTACTATTAGTACAGTCATCTCTTCTTATCCACAAGTTCCTCATCCAACCAACCACAAATAAAACACATTTAAAAACTATTAAATATTAAAAATATTTAAAAATCATATTGTATTTTTGTGATAATTATTTAAAATATACAGTATTACAAAAATTATATTAATATAGTATTTGTATTTGTTAAATATAGCAAAAACAATATAGTATAACAATTATTTACATAGCATTTGTATTAATCTGTTTTCATGTCGCTGATAAAGACATACCAGAGACTGGGAAGAAAAAGAGATTTTAATGGACTTACATGTGCCTGGGGAGGCCTCAGAATCATGGTGGAATATGAAAGGCACAGCTCCCATGATGGCAGACAAGAGACGAAGGTTGTGCAGGGAAACCCCTCTTTTTAAAACCATCAGATCCAGTGAGACTTATTCATTATCAGGAGAACAGCATGGAAAATACCTGCCCCCAAGATTCAGTTACCTCCCAGTGGGTCCCTCCCACAACACAAGGGAATTCAGGATGAGATTTGGGTGGGAACTTAGCTAAACCATATCAGTATTTATGTTGTATTATATATTATAAGAAACCTAGAGATGATTCGAAGTATATGGGAGAATGTTCATAGGTTATATGCAAATACTGTGCCATTTTCTATAAGGGACTTGTGCATCCGTGGTCATAAGTACCCAAGAGGATCTTGGAATCAATCCCATGTGGATACCAAGGGATGACTGTATTTCTATATTTACTTTTCATTTCTTTCCACATTTGTCTGATGTATCTTTTATATCCTTTTATTTCATCCTTTCTGTGCTATTTTGTTTCACCTATATCTTTACAATGAACATATAGATGGATGTATTACTTTAAAAAAATTATATCCTATTTTATGTTTTCTGGTTGCCATCTTTGTTGTTCTTGCTTTATTCAAGTTATTTATTGCTTTATAAAAAATTGACCATTTAAAAATATTTTATGCTTTTTCCTTTGATTTGGATTTTATTCATCTTGTTTTTTATTAATGATTCTTAAATTTTTAAAACATATTCTACTATTTTTAAATTTAGCATCTAATGTTTTTCATTATTTACATTCTTCTCTGTCTTTCCCAACCAACAATACGGTGTTCCCACCCACTCCCATTATACCTTCTAACTTAATTACATCTTCAACGATCTTTTTTCCAAATAAGGTCACATTCACAGGTTCTGGGTTGAACATATCTTTTATGGGGGACCGAATCAAACCCATGACAATAGGCAAACTCTTATTCAAATATAAATACCAATATAAAGAGTGATATGTAGGCTAGGCATGGTGGCTCACACTGGTAATCTTACACTTTGGGAGGCTGAGGCAGGTGAATCACTTGAGGTCAGGAGTTCCAGAAAGAGTAATATGTAAATGAAAGTTAGTGTGAGAGTTTATTTACATTGGTGAAATGTGGATAATGGAGAGTTGGCAGTTAAATAAATAAATATACAATGTTCAGTTGTTACTATATTTTAAGATGTTACTATAAAATCACTTGGGTTCCCTTATTAAAAAATTTGATATTTTAGGCTCCACTCTAAAAGATCCTGATTAATATCTGACATGGGACCCATGATTCTGTGTTTTAACAGGCAGAAAGAGGGGAAAATTTTAAGTTTTGTAGGTCTAGGACCCAATCCAGCTTGGCGGTTGTTCTAAAAGGAAAATAACACAAAATCACAGCTAAGTATCCTAGAAGTTTAAGCTTGACTAGATTTTTGGTAAATCTGCCCCAGAAGGCACACCAAGTAATTTATGCACATGGTCCATGGACCCACACTGTATGGAACAGTGATCTAGCATATTCTTTCTGCCTTTTTGTTATTGCTGCTGCTAAACATTGTTTCTTCCCATAATATAATGCTATTACAAGTTGAGCTTTCCTTGGCTTATAGGTCATTATTTAGGCCATGCCTTTAATGTTGATTAAAATTATGACTACATTAGAGGATGGATTGATCTCTGTTATTGAATGTAAGATTTGTGAATTTCAAAAATTTGTTTGCTGTAGTCCTATGAAACAGGAGAGTCCCCTTATGCTCTTTGCACAATGTGTGGCAGGGTGGGGCTTGCTCCATTGGTCATCCTGCTGCTCAAACCCCTAGGGGAGTATGCAGGAGGGCAGGTGCAGAGGCTGTGGAGAATGCTTTTGGGCTCCGACCCCACAGTAGTCTAGGAGTGGGTGACTGTGACTCCCGAAGCCCCAGTGGGCATGTGTTACAATATGCTCTTTGAACTTTGCTGTTTGCAGATGGCTTGTGTTAATAGGCTCGATAAACACTCTCTCCCTTATCGCAAGGGCAGAGGGCCAGTGTGGCAGCTTTCTGTATCCCAAGCTCTTGTCCAGTGTACCAGAAAAATCATATTACACCTGGGCTCGAAGGATGGGTGCAAGGTTTTATTGAGTGGTGGAGGTGGCTCTCAGTGAGATGGATAGGGAGCTGGAAAGAGGTATGGAGTGGGAAAGTGGTTTTTCCCTGGAGTTGGGCCACCCAGTGGCTGGACTCTTCTCTGACCACCCCAGCCGAGTTCCCTTCAGCATCCAGAGGTTCTCCCTCTTCTCTTTCTCTGCTGCGTCATTCCGCTGTCGCTGGTCTGCCAGTCCGCTAGTGTCTGTTGGTCTGTTCCCCTGTCCTTCTCAATGTTCAACTGCTTGTATCTGTTCCCACTAAGGTCTCAGGCTTATGTGGGCACAGGATTGGGGCCATGGCAGACCAGAGTGGTCTTGGAAATTGCAACATTTGGGCGTGAAAACAGGAGTGCCTGTTCCTTGGGCACAGGCCCAAGGGTAGAGCCCTCGCCAGGGACTCCACCCTTCTCTATCTAGCACTTTCCTGCCCCCACTCTTTATTACTTATTGTTACTATCAATAATATACATTTATAGTTTCTTTCCTGGAAACATGGGGTAGAAAAAGGGGCATTGGTTTTCTTTCTTGGAGGCTCCTTATGCGTGCAACAAATAGCAGATTGCTCCAAAAATTAAACAAGTTGATGTATGAGTGCTTGATATGGGGGCTATTACATAGGACACAAATGCTTGTCAGTATTCCTCTTCTCACTAGTTTTTTTTTTTCCTTTTTCCCTCACTCATCTATCCTTGCTTTCTGTAAGATAATTTTGCCCCTAGATTATTGAAGAACTCTTGAAGAAAGAAACTAAGAAATTCTCTGTGGAACTTTGCCTTTCAGTTCTTGTATTGTTACTTATTCTGTCTGATAGAAAAATTGGGTTTATAATAAGGATCACAAAATTTTAACTTTTTAATTGGGTGGTTTCTTTAGGCCAGTCTCTGCCAACACTGTTCCATATACATTACTATCTTTAATTTCCCCATCAATCCTACAATGTAGACACAACAATTATCTTTCATTATAAGGATGAAAAAAACTGATTTTTTCAAGATTTTACCAAGATTTATTTAACTTTTCCAATAAGCCATATAATAAGAAGTGGCCAAAGATACCTATGCTGGCCTGATCCTAAAATACTACTCTTGGCCACTGCTATAATTCCAAGATAATATTCCACAGAGTTGAATCAAGTTTATTCATAATAACCAATTTCTCTTACTTAACAATAGACTTCTGTGTGTATTGCCAGCCAGTGATAATAGAATGTTGTTTGCTTTATTTTAAATACTGGTACAGAGATATTATATTACAGTTTGGGGCATTTTAACCCAGGGAATTACTGAGAATATAATTTTTAGTGATTGGGTAGAAATGCTTTTAATTTCCATCATCTCTTGGCAGTTACACTTTTTAATAAAATTCTTTGCTGTACATTTCAGTTTCACTAATGTGATTATGTGGGCTAACATCAAAAGGGTTCATTGCTTAATGACCAAGAACCAAGTATGTCAGGATGCAGGAATTGGAAATGGTTTTAAATAAATCAATTTCAAGTGAATTAATCTTTGAAAACAGCACTTGAGCATTTTCCATATGAAAGTCATTTCCATTATGACTTCATAGAACCATTCAAAGTGTCTTTTTTGATGTTTATTGTCTTTATGGTAGCAAGAGTAGCTACATTGTGTTATAATAATATGGTTTATTTCTGCTTCTAAATTATCTACGGTTGAGAGTGGATTTATATAGCTGTGTATATTTGCTCAGAGCCTCTTCAATATCCTTCCAGAATCACTTATACATTGCCTTTGGTTGTGTATGTATCTTTGTGAAAATGACAGCAAGCACTGAATCAGAGTGATGCACCATTTACTCTGTGGTGCTTTATGTATTGTCACTACAATTGCATGTTCACAGGCAGCTTTGTGTACTTAAGATTTACAAGTCATTTGTTTGCTTCCAAGAAGCCGTCTGAGATGATAGTATATATTAAAGTTGCTAAACAAATTATATATTTCTTGTACCTAAAACTTCAGCCATTTAAGATGCATCATCTTCCTTCCTTCCTCCCTTCTCCCTCCTTCCCCCCTTTCCTCCCTTCCCCCTCCTTCCCTCCCTTCCTCCCTCCCTCTCTCCCTCCCTGCCTCGCTCCCTTCCTTCTTGTCTTTCCAAACAACAGTTTATCTTTTGTAATTTATTACATAATTTCGCTAAGAACCTAAAATCACTTTTTTCTTTGAAATCCCTTTTCTTTCAGTTTTTGCCTTTGCATTTATATTGTCTCTGTGACAGAACTTAATATTTAAGTCACAAAGCAATTCAGTTTTTAAGCATTTTGTTGGTATTGTTAAACTTGGATTTTAGCTTCCCCTAACTAACCAATAAATTGATAAGATCAAAAGCTCAGATATGGATGTGATATCTTTTTAACAATAGATTTTCCAATCATGTAGTGTGTACAAAAAAGATGCCAGACCTAAGAAAAAAAAATTGTTGCTAGAAGAATCTAATACTTTTCATAAACCAGTAAAATAATTATTTTAAATAGTATTTTAAAAGGACACATGTAATACTTATAAGTAATTAAGGTAAACATTTACATCACTCTCTTACTAAAGTAAACAATTTTTAGAGTAGTCTATGATGATTTCACTTAAGGAAAGTTTCTGGCATTTAATCTGAAATTATTAACTATCCATGTTGTAAGGCCATGTTAAGATTTTTTTTTTTTAATTTTTGGCAGTTACTTATAGAGTTCCTTCTCTCTCCCCAAATTATGTACCTATTGATTATTATTTAATTCAAAGTAAACTTGTGCCAAGGTAAAATTATGATAGTAGTGTTTTATGTAGAAGAATACAGTGAAGGATAGCCTATATACCACAGACAGAAATATATAATCCTATATCTTTGTAATTTGTACTCATCAAATACTGCTTCCAAATCCGATTATGTGTAGTTCCAAGTAGATTAAATTTGAAAGAAGGAATATCCTTTTATTTCTTTTATCTTTTGATCCTTTCTACTTCCTCATTTCTTCCCAACACAAATATAGCTTTGAGTTATAAATGGAAATACAAATTGATGAGCACCAATAGCCTACAGAGGCTTTCAGACATAGATTTCTGGTGCCCGTGAAGAACTTTGTTACACAATTGAAAGACTTTTTCAAACTGTATGGGATTTGAATCATCAAATTTGAAAGAATTTGGCAGTTATTCAATGCCTCCATCTGCCTCCCATAAAAGCTGCTATTATTAAGTCATTCCAGTGAGATGGGAATCTATGCTTTCTTTTAGGCTTTGAGAGAAAATGATTCAGTAATCTCTTTTTTTAAAACTTATTTCAATGTTTAATAACTTGAACTGTCAAAAAAGATTTTTTCATCATTACCACAAATTCTTTTTGTTGTCATTTAAGCCCAAGAATAAGATGAACAGCCTCGTAGAATTAATATGTGAATGCAACATCAAAGGACACAATAATTACAACCCAGGCTGTTTTACATCAGTCAAGCCGTCCTAATTCTAAAAGTCCAGAACTGGGACTCTTATTAATAATGATTACATTTTAGTATTTAATACTCCTAATATTTATAAAGAGATAATTTATTGAATTTGCCTCTGAATATGTTAAATTGTCTAAAACCATATTAAAACATTATTTTTCATAACACA